CATCTTTTATATTCCTTTTTCATGTCAACACAACCCATGTCTCCATATTCCCTTTATGCAGGTTATGTAGCCTTTGGGAAGGATGAACTTGCGCAGAGGAGTCCACCATCAGAAGACACCTCCTTCAAAAGTTTTAAATGGCAGCAGCCACCAGGAAACTTTGTTATTTTGGTTCTAGTTGCCATCTCTTACCGACACCTGCAGGGCTTCAGATTTTTCTTCCTTTTGCCAAATCCTCCCTGTCTCACCACAGAACCGTGACCAATGGGAATAAATCACAATTTTAGTAATTTGTTTAAATGTTGCTACGAAACAGGTCACAGCGGTCAGTGCGAGGCCCTGTTTGTGTAGTCACCCACAGAGGAAAAAAAGACATTTGTTCTGCTTTGAAAAATACGTCTCTCATGTGGAAAGGGCACACGGTTTGGGTGGAAGGCTGCGGCCACCAAAGGGGAGGACGAGCTGCGGTGGGACCTTCGCTCAGTGACGCAGCCCAACTGGGCAGCTTCACAAATGTTCCTTGAGATTGTTTTGCCTGTTGCTCAAAGCACATCACAGGCTGCAGCCAAACATTCACCCTTGGCTCAGAACTGCTGCACCGTCGGGCAGCTGAAGTAAAATATTACACACACACCCCCCCAACCCACAAGCAAACACTGCTGCGGGTGAAGGTCAGCAGGGGAAGTATGATATCATGAAACCCAAGAGGAAAAGCAAACATCACGCCAGCTCCATGCGCTGGTCAGCCACAGTGCTGGGACAGAGACTTGCCAAGTCCGACTTCTGTGCTCTCTGTGTGCTTGGAGTTCATTTTTTTGGGCAGCTATACGGAAAGGGTACGCTGCACACTGCAGCTAACTGCAAAACGATCCATTCCTCTACTGCTTTTCAAGTCCTGGTGACAAACGGTCACAACATCCTCACCACCCTGCTATGATGAAGCCATTTCCGCATGAGCCAGCAGAAAGCCATTTAGCCACGCTCCGACTGCAGCCCTGGATGGCCAGGGCTCACCCCTCGGCCTACGCCGCCTCGGCGCGGCAGGGCTCGGGGCTGGCCATCAGAGTGTCCTTCAAGCATGGAAACAACTCGTTCCAGCTAGCAAGACTTCTCCTCCCACAAAGCAGTACATCACAGTAGTGCTAAAAGAATGGTGTTTTTCTTACAACGGCAAGGAAATGACCTAAAAACCACATCAGCTTTTTTTGTGTTAAATTCTCCTAGGATTCTGCTGGGGCGGGGTGCCAGCGGCAGTGCCGCAGATGTAACCTGCTCAGATGCATGCGCTCCCATGCCCAGCTACTTCAAACTACAAATGCCTCCTGCTGTAGGCAGGCTATACACAGGTAGGTAAACTCACACAAAAATTGAGGTGTCTGGGATGCATTTCAACAGGATCATTTGTAGGAGTCCTTTAATTCTATATGGAAGTGCTGGCAGGATTGGCTCAATGCTTCCCAAGCTGCAGCATCTCCCTCCACTCTGCTTGCTACCAGCAAAGCAAGGATTTACTGAGCTCCCTTGCTCACCCCTCGCAAGCCAAAGAAACTTGGGCTCCCCTTGCTCCTTGGGCAGGAGGAGGTCCCTTATGCCCATCCCGCCCGGCACTGGGTGCCCACTCGGGATGCACCCACCTTCCCCCTTTCCCAGCAGTGGGCTCTTGTGGACCTTGCACCTCCACCAGCACCTGGAGGGCTGAATGCAGTGTCGTGAGCATCATCACACTCACGCTGGGAGAAATCCCTAATGGAGGTTTAATGAGCAATTCCTGCCCTTGTGCTACTGCTAAATGCTTTATCCTGTGTGAGAGCGGGATGCCTCTGTACCTGTATGCACACCATGGCATGTGGCTATAAATATATCCATGAACAAACAAATAATGCTGTCCTTAAACCAAAACTGTTAAAAATTTATTATGAATATAAAACCTGTGCTGGCCAGGACTCGTAAAGCAGCGCTGTAAAAAAATAAACCCTCCCGGCACTACAAATCCCAGAGCCCAGCAGACTGGGTTTTGCAAAGGACCCTCACACCTGGGGATAAACCCCAAAATTTCACAACTTCTTTTTTTTTTTTTTTTTTTTTTTTTGTAAAAGTAAGTTTGCCATGTTAACAAAAGCAGAATAGTTTTATTTAGTGTTCATCCCACACCGACAGCTGCAGCTGTCAGGCACAGAAATACAGTATTAAAATAAACTGAACAGAGTTGCTCATTGAAAAAACCACGCTATGCAAACCTGTGGATTGTAACATCAACAGTATAAAATGTAACAAAATTGGAATTTTTAATTTTTTTAAGCTTTTAAGATAATAGTCCAGGCTATAAAACTATATAAGCATTGATAAGAAATGTTAAAGTCAACAAGTCTACAACAGATACATCTTGTAAAAACTCAATAAATTATATATATATTTATAATATCTAGTAACATTTGAAATCATGCACAGATTTGTACATTTTCTTTTCTCAGTACAGGAAAACTCAACGCTTCGAGTACTTGGAATGTACACAATTAGCAGACATTTGTAAGAAAATACCAAGAAATTCTTTTTTATTCCAACAAAACAAAATTCTATAGAAATCTACCTTCTCAAACTTCCACTGAAATAACCTCAAACTATAAATTATTTATTTTAGGATAAGGATTTTGTGGTCTAAGAAGAAAAAAAAATAAATCTTAAAATGAGATGCTGTCATCCTGTTATTCTGAAACATTGATATATGCACCAGAGAAAAACAGACAGAATGAATTTAGGATGCAGTTTGCCTTGCCTCTTCGTGGTAGCAGATAAAGTCTTCCGGACAAAAAAAATAATCCCCAAACCCCCCCCGCCCC